GGCCCTTTGCCCAGTTCTCACATGTGTGAATTGCCCCCAGAATGGACCTTTGTCGTTTCCTTCACAGAAGGCATGGCCTCATATACACACCCTACAGGTTTGAACGAAGTTCACGGTTCCACATAACCTGGAACCCCACGGACTACCCCTGCTTGCAGGGCCCTGGGAATCAATCTTCTTTTATGAATGCTTTAATGGTTTGAACAACCCAATTTCTGTTGAATAACTTCTATGTGCAACTACAGAAAAAAAACACCCTTAATTTATTACATGATGTAGCCATTTACAATATAGCACATTTTTTTGCAACCCTGCTTTGTTATTTCTTCATCATTAAAGCATATTTATCCGGAGAATGGAAACCTGGCCGAGGCCCAGCGTCTCTACACCTGAGGACCCTGCAGTGAGCACACAGCAGGACACCTGGGAACCTGTCAGAGGCGGTAGTTCAAGGAAGATCATTACACATCAGCCAAATCAGCACTGCCCAGAAGTTCATAATAACAACAACAATAATAATGGCAAGAATAATAGTAAGTCCATACGGGTTGTGCAGCGCCAAAGGGTTTTGAAAGCACACCCACACTTTGTGATCCCACCATCCCAGAGCCAAGCCTGGGAGAGGCACGCTCTCACAGTCCACCCACCCAATCACCTCAGCTCCTAGGCTTCTGAGCTTTGAAGGACCCTGACTCAGCCTCTGAGTGGCCTGTGACTTGGTGCGGGGCAGACGCAGGAAATGCAATGCCCCAAACGAATGGAGTTATCACTGTTGTTACCGCTGTCGTTCTGTATTCTTTGGCTGCTCCTTCGGGCCTCCCTCAGATTAGGAGCCTCTTTGCCTGCTTCCTTCCTTCTCAGGGCATGGTGGCTGTGGCCTCTGCAGTAGCCATAAGCCACCAGCCAGTGCAACAACCTGCCCCTACTGCCCTCAGCGCTCTCCGACCGACAAAGTGCTGTCAAGCATTTGCTGGGCCCCGCAGTCCCCACGCAGCTCTGTGTGCTTCCCAGCTATGATTGTTAGCTGAGGGAGGTTGGTGACCGGCAAGATTGAAGCCCTGTGGCACCTAGGCCCCAGCACTGGTTGGCCTGCTCCCCAACTCTCCCTTCTGCCCAGGAGCTCCTCCACCAGCTTTTGGGGCTTTGGGGAAATAACTGATTTCCTTGCTGCTCAGGCTCTGTCGGCAACGGCAAGAGAACTTCTGTAAAGCGAGGTGAACTCCGTGGACTTGTGGGAGGCCGTGTTCTGCCTTTTCCTGGCGAACCCTGATGGGAGGTAACATGGGTGAAATGTGGGCCTGCCTGGGACTGAGCTCCGGGGGCTGGTTGGGGAGTCCCAGTCACTGCACCCCCGCACCTCGGGGAGTCTGCAGGCCTTGGATGAGATCCTACCTGGTTGAAAGGCTGACTGTGGCTATCATCATTGCCAGTTCCCGCTCCCCCAGATGCCACCTCCCCCAGCCTCTCTGAGTTGGGGATGCAACTCCCACAATCCCACCTGTCAGAGGTGTGGGAAGGCACATTCAAGTCCTCCCTCGGACCTTCTCCAATGAACAGATTCGCTGTCACCTCTCCCCCTTGCTAGAGTGGCCTGTAAGACATTTATTTTCAGAATGGATGGCACCCCTATACACCCCCTGCTTGGTGGATACTCTTGGGGGTCTGAGAGTGGGACTTGCTGGAGTGGGAATCAACTTGGGATGGCTAAGGCCAAGACCCACAGGCTTTGGGGCCGGAAGGAAGCTTGAGTTACACACACACACACACACACACACACACACACACACACCAGGGACATTGGCAGTCCAGAATGAGATTCATAGGCTGGGCCTGGAGCTTTGGGACTTCAGGGTGAGTCACAGCCTTTCTGCCCCCCTTTCCCAGCCATTCCTTCTGCCTTAGTTTACCCTCCTCAGTGTGTGGGTCCCCAGTGGGCCCCCAAGGCCAGCTCTGAGATTCAGGAAGGGCTGAAGGGGACTGAGAAAGATGAAGCGTTCAGAAGCCCCCAGGGCTCCGGTGACAACGCTCTGCTCCCCCAGGCCCAGAGCAGACCCAAGACCAGCGCCCAGCTCTGCAGCTGGGGCGCATGAATCGCCCCCCCCCGCCCCCCCCCCCAGGGCAGGCAGGGAGCAGGACCAATTGTTCCTCATCCTCTAAAAAAAGGGTCCAGGCGTGAGTGCAGAAGGAAAAGGAAATGAAAATAGTTACACTACACATTTCCAACAGGAGCCGCATCTGCGGCGCAGGGCCCAGTAAAGGCGCCCGTCTTGGGTCGCAGAGCAGCGGGAAATCCTCAGAGGCCAGGCTGGACCCAGGGGCTGCCTCGGGCGGCCGGATCTCAGGGCGCTCCCGCCAACGCTGGCCACGGGGCGGTTCAGAGAGAAAATGCAACAATCCGGGTCAGATGGGATCCGTTTGAGTCATTTTCCCCGGAAGTCTCTAGCCAGCCCAGAAGAATTGGCCCTGGCAGGGAGCCGGAGAGAGGGCGAGAGGGGTAGGGGCGCTGCCTGGCCTCCCCAGTTCTCACAACTCCAAATCCGCAAGGATGGAGCACAAACCACCCTCTTAGGACGCAGCTACAACCAACTGCCGGTTTCAGAAGAGGAAAAAATCACCTCCCTCTCCCCAAATCAGTAGTGGCGACCTCTGGAGAGAGGAAGGGAGGAGAGTCTAACATTATCGGAAATGTTCTTTCTACCAAAAAAAAAAAATTGTATGCGCGAATAGGAAACTAAAATTTCACTCATAACGTGTCAACAAGAAACAAAATGACTGCGGGAGCCGTTTGGAAGGTAGCTGGGCTTGGGGACGCCGGTGTGCACTTCCCGAGGGCCTTTGCCTTTCCCTTCGCTTTTCTCAGTTTCCTGAAGCGGGAACCATTTCTTAAAGGCTCCTGGACACTCTCTGCTCCGCCCGGTCCCTGGGGCTGCAGACGCCAGGCCTGCGCCTTCAGGGTGTCAAGGCCCGGTGGTCGCGTGGCGGGGTGAGGTCGCGGCCAGAGGAGGAGGGCGGCCGGCCCGTCCGCTCCAGGTGAAATTGAAAGTAGCCGGAGCCTTGTTTCGGCCTTTCCCAGCTCGGGGCCTCGGCGCCTGCACTGCGCGTTAACCCTTCCTTGCTCGCCCGGCTGGCGTGAGCGAGGGGAGCGGTGCGCATTTTGCTCGGGTGGATCCGTGGCATCCTGGCGCTCATTCCTCTATAGAATCAAGTAACAACGAATCCTCGCCCAGCCCTTCCTCTGCTCCCCTCTTAGGTTTCGGTGCGGATCAAATGACGCAGGCCCCGGGGGGAGTGGAAGCGCCTTTTGCACCCCGCTGAGGTCAGAGCGCAAGTGACCCTCCCGAGAGACACCTTATTACAGCCTCGTTCGCCCCTCATCGTTTCGGAATCTCAGCGAGGGTTTTTGCTGGCCTATTCTCCAAACAAAATAAAACCAGAATCACTTAGAAAAACACGCGGAAAGATGGAAAGCCCAAAGATGTAGGCAGGTGGATGGGGTCAGCAAGTTAGGACGAGGGATGGAAATTGGCGCAGGTTCAGCTATGGACTCTTCCTGGACTCTGAAACCAACGCCCACGAGGAAAAAGGGAATCCTAGGGATCCGCTCCTGATTAGTGGGATTCGTCTTGGGCTCCTGCAAAGTCCCGGGAGCCGAGATTCCCTGAGCTGCACCGGTTTACACCCCCGCTGGGGAGGGGGTGAGGGGTGGCCAGCTAGGGTGCTCCCAGGAGGGGCAGGCAGCCTGGGTCCAGGACTGAAAAGAGGTTGGGAAATGGGACCCTAGATATTTCCATGGTACTGGCTTCCCCAAAGCCGGGCGGAGAGAGGCTCAGAGAAAACAAGGCGTCCAGGAGGGCATGTTAAACTGAAAGTTTATAAATTAAAGGGAAAAATACAGCGAATAGAGCTTCCCAACTTCACAAATCTTTTAAAAGTTAATAGTCTAGTTGAGTGCACAGTGCCCTTAGGGAGGCGAAAAGGGCGAGGTTGACAGGATCACCTGTCTTAGGGGCAGGGGCAGGGGCAGGGACAAGGATGGGCGAATCCTGGGTCAGGACACAGCGGTGGCAGAGAGTGGACAGAAGAGACAAAGGGCCCAGCGGCTGGCAAACTGCGGAGGACGCCACAGAAAGGCTGGTCAGGGATATTCACATTGAATACAAAAATAACCGTCATTTGAATACAAACAACTGAAAAGTGCTACAAGTTTGAACCCCCCCATTTAAAACAAATAAAAAGAAATAAAAGAAACATGTCTGCGAAGGGCTGCCAGGCCCGTTCTCTCCTTGTTCTGGGACTCCCAGGAGCTTCCCAGTGTCTTGCGGCCCTGGCCTCCAAGAGGAAAGATGAGGGGGAGGCGGAGGGGGTAGAGGGTGCCCTGTGCTCAGAGGCTTCCTTCCTTACATTCAGCACTCAATAGGGCGCCCTCACCCAAGGTCTGACGCCAGGGAGGGAGGGGCCAGAAAACCAAACCCTTCACTGTTCAAAACCAACCCCTGGCCTGGGGTTTCTAGGGGCTGCCTGGGTTTCGCACCCCCTTTATTACAAATGCAATTTCCAAAAAGAATAGATATGTAGATACACATAGATCGGTAGCATGGATACCATGAACTAGTGTGGCCTAGCGCACGAAGCTCCCGGCAGGCCTGAACTTCAGGGGATTCAGGCTACGTGGTCTCCAGGAGTTCTCTCCACTCCGAGGGAACGCCATCCCCAGGCAGATACAATCCAAATCCAACGCTGTCGCGATAATAAATAATGTCTAAGGGCTTCCAGGCAGGTGAGGGCGGGGGGCGCAGAGCCCCTAGGCCACTGGGTGCCTCTGTTCAAATTGGAAAAAGGCGCCCCCTCCGGGCAGACTCTGTCCCATCGCCAGGGCGCACGTCCCGGATAGCAGAGCCAGGGCTGGATTTGATCCTCCACTTGCCCCCTCGGGTGGGCGCCCCTGTACAAAGCACGACCGGCACAGCCGTCAGCTGCCGGCCGCCTGGAGCCGGGGAGCCGGGATCACTCGCTGCCTCGCCCCAGGCCGGCTCACTGGGTGCCCGCGGCGGCTGCGCACGTAGAAAGCGCCCAGCCCGGGAGGCAATAGTAAGGGTAGTAGTAGGAGGGCTGCAGCGGCAGCAGCGAGGGCGGCCGCAGCACCTCGCCGGGCAGGTACTGTCTCTGGTCGTCGCGCACCAGCACCTTCACCGCCACCTTCTTAGCTGCGGGCGCGGAGGCCAGCAGGTCGGCAGCCATCTGCCGGCGCTTGGTCTTGTAGCGACGGTTCTGGAACCAGATCTTCACCTGCGTCTCAGTGAGCTTCAGCGACGCGGCCAGGTCGGCGCGCTCGGGCCCGGACAGGTAGCGCTGGTGGTTGAAGCGACGCTCCAGCTCGAAGACCTGCGCGTGGGAGAAGGCGGCCCGCGAGCGCTTCTTGCGCGGCTTCGGCGCCACGGGCTCCTCCTCCTCCTCCGCGCCGCCCGCCGGCCCGCCGCCGCTGCTGCCGCCTCCGGCTCCGCTGCACAGCGCGGGCAAGCGGGCGCCTTCCGGGCCAACACCGTCGTCCTCCGCCCTCGGGCTGCGGTCGCCTTCGGACCCCAGAGGAAACAGAAACAAGAGACGGTCAGCGAAGCCGAGGAGTGAGGTTGGGCCTCAACTGCGGGGTGGGGGTGGGGAACGGAAATGTCCTGCGATCCCACCAGGGCGGTGGGGAGGGCCTCCAAGCCCGGGTTTTTGGAGACAGTCTCAGCACCACGTTCCACTCACTTCCCGCATCTAGGCCTGTCGGGCGCGGCCAAGGGACTCCGCCGCTGTATCAACGCTGTGCGGGCGGCCCAGATCCAGCTCTCTGCCCTGTCTGGGCCCCAGGCTCCCCTCGGTAACGCGAGGCACTGAGTCTGGTTACCCTCCAAAGCCTTGTCGGCTCTCAGAGCCGAACCCTGGGCTTCTAGATTACGTTTCCCTGTTTGGATTCACCCGCCTCCCTACACTCATGCTCACACATACACATGCGTTGACTGCGCGTCAAGGGAAGGTGTGGGGACAGATTCTGGGGACAGAGGTATTCAGAGTCTTCCGCCTCCCACCACCAGAATTGCTGTGAGAGGTGTGGCAATGGGCTGCCCCCAGACCTTGGGCGGACTTCTCCCTCTCCCTTTGCAAGGAAATTAGACAGAGGCTGGCGATTGGGGGTGACAAGAGCAGGGTGTCCCTGCCTCCAGTCCTTGGATTCACATCTGACTCCAGTTCCCCGGCCTTTCCCGCGCGCTCAGGCCACAGCACCCAGCAGAGAGGTCCGGTGCTCTGGCCTCTGGCGGACAGGACAGGATTTGCCTGGGGCCCGAGCGAGGCCTACAGCAGCGTCTACCAGACCTGTGGGGCAGGGGGGCAGGCGTAGGGGTCTTTCTGACCCAATGAGTTGCCAGGAGCTGAGGAGGCCCCTCTCCCTGCTGCGTCTGGGATGACCCACATCAGCCCCTCTGCCTCCAGCTGGCTGCTGGGTTTGCCTCCAGCTCTTGGGTCCTCAGCCCAGAACAGCTTCCCAGGCCCTGGAGTCTGGGAAGCTAAACAAACCCTCCTCTCCAAGCCCGAGCTCAGCAGATCCTGTCCCCTGGCCCGCTAGGAGGTGTCCCTCGCTACCTGTCCTTGCGCTGCAGGGCCTGGCCCTGGGACCTCCAGCACGGAGTGACTCTGCTCTCTGGGTGAGGGCCAGGGCACCGGCTATCCTAGATCTCTGGGCCTCTCGCTCTTCCTCCTTCCAACTGATTTGGAGATTTGGAGACAGACACGGCCTGCCAAAGGCACTAGAGATGAACTCAAATCCAAGCTGCAGTGGTTCCCTCCCAGCCCTGTCCGGAGGACATCTCAGGCCTTGCCCCAGGACGCAGGGCTCTGAGGACGCTCTCGGTTTTCTCTCTGGCTTACTTACCGGAGGGTAAGAGCAGCCCGCGCCAGAGCGCAGAGCTTGGGGTCCGGATCAGCCCCTGGGCCCCAGGGCAGGGTGCTCGCGGCAGGCCCACCCCACTCTTCGAGGTTGACCTCCTTGCCCAGCCCCTCAGCCCGGCCCCCTTCCCCGGGAAGCCTCAGCGAACCTGAGACGCTGGCGGACATCTCGCTGTCGCTCCGGCCCACGGCTTCCTCCTCCAGGTCCTTGGCGGCGGGCAGCTCGCAGACGGGCTGGATGAGGCCCAGGGTCCCTCCCGCACGGCCGGCCCGACTGGCCCTAGGCGCGTCCGCGCAGCGCCGCCCGCCCTCGTTGTCCTCGCTCAGCGCCGAGTCCGAGTCCCAGCCACCCGGGCTCTCCGCGGTCCGCCCCGCAGCCATTCTGGTCCCGGCAGGCGACGCCAGCAGAGAGTCCTCGGCGCCCCCCAGCGCGCCCGCGTCGTTCTCCCCAAAGAGCCGCCAGCAGCAGACAGCGGGCGCCCCAGCCACTGCTACCGGTGTGCCCCCTGGTACCCGGCGCCCCTCCGGCGCGGGTAGTCCGCCGCGCTCCTCTTTCTTGTTGAGGATCGCCTGGATGGAGAAGGGCGTCAAGGTGTTGGCGCCGCGCACAGCCATCTGCGCCTCGGGCCGGAGCGGCCGGCCGGCCGGGCGGCTGGGGAGCGGGGCAGCTCCGAGCTGGACGGAACGCGCGGGGCGCCGCGGCGCGAGTGAGCCCGGCGCGCGCGAGGCCCCTGCAGCCCACTCCTGCGCGGTCCAGTAGCCCGCGCCCTGCTCTGGCCCGGGATCAGCGCCGACCCTCACCCCTACTTCCGAGTTTCACCCCGCCCGGAGACCCCCTCCCTCCCAATCCAGAGTCAGACGCCCTTCTTTCGCTGCTCAGTTGAATTATCTCATCGCCTAGCGCTCCGAGGGGCGGGCCGGGGTCGGCCCCTCGGAGGGCATTGGGGGGAGGATCCGCGGGGGCCCCTCGGCGGCTGCAGTCCCCTCCTAAGCGCCTCCGGAGCGCACGACCCAGAGTCACTTTTTCTTTGCGCCTCTGTCTCTTCCCCGCCTGCAGGATTTCGCTCCTGGCTTGTCCTCTCCCTTCCCCGCTGGGCCCGCGCTTCCGGAGCCCACCCCCGGCGGCAGCGGTCGCGGCGGCCGCGGTATTCCGAGAGGCGCGGGGCACCTTTTTACCCCCTGCCTGGGTTTTATCTGTTTCTTCTCTCTTTCCTTCCCCTGCGTTCCTTCGGACCCCCCTCCCGCTCGGGTGTCATTCCTCACCGCTGAGTGACAGCCGCAGGCCACGCCCCTGCACTGGGCGGTCCCGGGCGCTCCCGGCCGCACATTGGCTGGCTCCAGCTGGGAGACGTTCACTGAAACAGACAAAACTGGGCGCGTTGCGCGTAGAAAGTCGGGGTCTGACTTAACCCCTTTCCTCCCAAGTCTGGTTCGCGAAGCATCTTCCAGCAGCTAGGAGGCCGCAGACCCGCTGCTCGAGAAACCGCGGGTCTTACCTTTGTGGATGTGCCCACCTATTCCCGCGCTTTTACGCAACACCGTGTTTAGTTGAGTCAAAATCTAGGCGGAAATCCAAGATCACGCAGTTCCATACATCGCGCGCATAGTTTCTGTTCTCTAGGAAGGTGCACAGAGATGAAGAACAAATTGCTTCTTGCACTTTCACACTTGCCCCCTTACACTTTCGCGGCTCTTCACTGCTAATTCTTTACGCTAAAATAATCAGTTCATGAAAACCACTCTATTATTTTTCTTTCCAGACCGTATTTTATTTGATTCGCTTTCTGTAGAGGAATTGAAAAGGAAAAAAAAATGGTACAGTTAGAACTAAAATCAGGCGAGAAATTGGAAGGCATGTTTAGGAGAGTTTCTGGAAATTGCGTGATTATGCACTGTCAATGCTGAATTTAATTGGAGTTAAATTTTGCACCAGGAAGAAGAAAGATGAAGAAGAAGAAGACCCTTTCAATTTGTTCTTTAAATATTCTGTACTTGTGAGTTGAATAAGATTATAAGATATGTATTTGTTTAAAAGAATTTCTAGGAATTACCATAGTAATGATCCTGAACTGGCATTAAATGCTCCTTTTTTTAAAAAAAATAAGTAACACATTGTTTTCTGTACAAGAAGGAGCCGAGTTAAAAAACACAAATATTGTGGGTATATCAAAACATTTGTTACTAATTTTTGTTGTTTATTTTTAAATAAAAAAAATTTGCACCAGTAAAATGCTTTACTGTCTTCCATAAATTTTGCCAGAGGTTCAACTTAACACCAAACACACAACTGGAACCATTAAATACGTTTAAGGAACTGTGATTTTAATTTAGCCAAGTGTGGGGACTGGTGTTTTTGGTGTCACTAACATAAATAACATCGCCCTTGTTGCTTTCTTTTTGGCGGCTCTCAGCGGGCACCGCAGGATGGAACACACCCACTGTTCACAGTTTTCAGGCTCAGTGGGGGCTTTGCAGCATCTCTGCTTCCCAGCCCGTCAGCCACAGGATGCCTTCTGCATCCCACATACACTACAGTGCAGTCGTGTATTCGGTGGGGAAAAACCTCACGCTCGCAGAGGTCATTGCCCTTGGTAGATCTTCCCGATGACATCAGGTTTGGAGAGAAAGGTAGTTTGAATGTGGTGTCAGTATCCCGCTAGTGTGAGGAACCCGAGGCTCTCCAGGCCCCGAGGGGAACAGAACCGAATGTTTCCTGGGCTTCCAAAGAAAGCGTGTCCTTGCCTTCCTCTCGCGACCTTGATTTATTCTCTAAATCACCCCCCCCACCTCCCTAAGCAATGGGTAGTTAGTCTCTGGGGTCCAGTCGAAGAGGAGGAGGAGGAGGAGGAGGACCCAGGTTGCCCAGAGGTGAGAGATGGCAGGTGTGAACTGGGTGTCGCAGACAGCTATCCTTTTGTGGGGTTAGGACTTGGTGTGGACACATAATACGGACACTGACAGGCAGAGAAGTTTCGGGGTTGAATAACTGAGTCTAAGAGTAAGTGTGGGGGCTCTCCAAAGACTTACTTAGCTGCCCTTTATTTTTTAAAGACCCATCCACCTCATCCCACCCCCCCACCCCCACACCACCAAATCCAAGTAGGATATACCCCTTGCCACAGGCTCGGAAGAGGTGTTCAAAGCGTGGAAAGCTGTGGTTCGGTGATTTTGTGGGCTCGGAGTGTAAGACTGGCGGCCTTCCGAGTCTCCAGGAGGCGCGCAGCCCGGGAGCTCGGTCCTCGGTCCTCGGTCCTCGCGGGCGCGGTCAGTGGATCGTTAGGTCTGGTGCTTGGCTGCGGGCAGGCCGGGAGGTGGGTGTTGGCCGAGTGTAAACACCAGGGTCTGGAAGCTGCCGGTGGGGAATGCAAAGGCTCTGGGGGACGGCGAGCGAAGGTGGTCGGATGCACAGAGATTATTTCCCCGGGGACGCGCAGAGTAAAGGAAAGGCCGGCGAGTGGGTGGGGAGGGTGTGCGTGGCGAGTCTCCGCAGGTCAGCGCTGAACGCACGCAGGTCCGGAGATCCACCGGGACAGGGAAGCGTCCGCGCCGGCGGGCGGGGACCCGGCTTGCAGCTCACCGAGGGCGATCTGCTCGGCGCGGCCGCGAGCTCCTGGACCCGTGGCGGCGGGACGGCGCCTGGAGGGCAGTCGGCGCCGCGCTCGGGCCCGGGAATCCGCGGAACCGGAGATGGGGACCCCGAGTGACCCACCCGTCTTCAGGAGGCGACCGGCTCGCCCCGCGCGGTGCCTTCCTCCGCCCGGCTCTTCGCTTATCTTCCCCAACTCCCCTCTTCTGACTCCCGCAGCTTGGTTCCTGCGCGCCCCTACTTGCCCCAGAACAGCCCAGGTCCCGGGCGCTGCTTGGCGGTGAGGTTTCCCCGGGCCGCGTGCGGAGTAGGGGATGCGGTGTGAGAGCCGAGGGGACGGAGATGGGGAAACGCCGGCTCTCGGGCGCGGCCCAGCAGGGGCCACCGCGCGCCGTGACCCTGGCGCCCATCACCCGTGCCCTCAGCCATCCTTCGTCTTCCGGGGAGGAGTTGCCTTCCGTGCCCGGGTTGGTCCGAGGGCACGCGCCAGGGGCTGTGCTGCAATGGGAGACCACGCCGGACTCCTCTGTGACGCTGATGACTTTGCCTGAAGACACTGGCCTTTTCTGGGCCGCAGTTTCTAGTCTTTGAAACCGAGGGCTTGGACCTGGTGCCCTCCGAGGCCGAGGCCGCCGCTGAACTGCTCGAGCTGGTGTGTGTGTGTGTGTGTGTGTGTGTGTGTGTGTGTGTGTGTGTAGGAGGCTCAGGTGCAAGCTCTCGGGCCAGGTCCAGGCAGAGGCTGCACCGGGATTCACCGTGGTCCCCACCAGCAGGCTCCCGAGGGTGCTCCAAGCATCCCAAGCGCCAAGCAACTGGCCACCTTCCCGCCAGCAAACACCAACCAACTCCCGAGTTCCTCAGTCGTCTGCTTTCAGACACCAGGGTCTTTTCATACACGTGGTCCAGGTATATCTGACTTCACAGGGAAGCATTGCTATGGGTCAGGGTAGTTTTATATTTTAAACAAATGCTGTTCACCAGCAATGTTCCAGGAGCCAAAGCCTATTGTTTTATTTATTTATTTTATATTTATTTATTTATTATTTTTTAAATGTATTTTTATTGATTTCAGAGAGGAGGGGAGAAGGAGAGAGAGATAGAAACATCAACGATGAGAGAGAATCATTGACTGGCTGCCTCCTGGACACCCCACACTGGGGACGGAGCCTGCAACCAGGGCATGTGCCCTGACCAGGAATCGAGCTATGATCTCCTGGTTCACAGGTTGATACTCAACCACTGAGCCACCATGGCCAGGCCTATTGTTTTATTTAATCTACACAACCTTCAGGGTGTGGTGAGTAGAAAACATTATTATCCCCACTTTACAGATGAGGAAACGGAGAGTCACATAGTTTAAATGACTTGCCCACCAGTACACGGCTAAATCAGGATTCAAAACTGTCTAATGTCAATCGTGTTGGGTTTTCTAACCAGTTTTTCTATGAAGCTTCGGGTTTATTCTCATTAAATGTTTCTTATTGTCTTCCTGACCCATTTCAATGGACTCGTTCATCAGAAAAAGAGCCTGGAACTTAAGGAAATCAAAGGAAGAATTCGGGCAGGCAAATCTAATGATTTTTCTGTTTCGTGCCTTTGAAAATAAAAGACGCCAAAGGCCCATGGATCTGGACATAAAGCTTGGTATATGGAAAGAAAGAAACACCATTATTATTATAATCAATAAAATGAACCATGTGTAAAGGGAAACGGTTGCGTTCAGAAATATGGGGACCTGGGCCTTGCTCGAGGATGCAGTGATAAAGATCTCACGGAAGACGTTTCCTCTTTGGAGCTTTGGTTTTCTTACTGGTAAAAAGCCCCTGTTGGAGGGAGATGACTTCTCGCGTTTTGAACGTCAAGTACGGTCTCGCGAACCCGCCTGGGTACAGTGGAGGACGAGCGCCACCTAGCGGGAACCCTTGCGGAATGCGTGGCGTATGGATCTACTGAAACACCAAAAAGAAAAAGTTGGTTTCACAAAACGGAATGTTTTTGCTGTTAATTGTCTCCACAGTCTCACGTTATGAGCAACCTAATAACGGAGATGTTCCTTTCAAAAGACTCATGCAGACACAGCCCGATCCCCACTGAAAAA